ATTGGAGTAAAGTATACTATAGGTAAGACTTTCTTGTGAGTGGCAGAAACCCAGTTTGAACTAACTTTGGCAAAAAGGGAATTTTATTGCCTTGTGTAACTAAACTGCTGGAAGGATGGACCCTGGAACACCACCAGGACCGACTTCATCTCTCTGAGGGGTGGCTGCTTTTTCTTGCATCTGCTTACTCCAATTCCAAATAGCTGGACCCCTCATGGCCAGCCCTGCTGGGATCACATCTTCCCAGTTTATTGCAGAAGAGGAAGGAGGACTTTGACACTTTACTCCCCCACTGTCTTGCTGCCAGGATGTCTAGACCGGGGAGGTACTGAGAGGCCCACCGTGGGTCACATGCCCATCCTGTATCGGCAGGGGTGTGTGTATGTGTGTGTGTTCATTGGCAGCCTCCTCCAGCACCACATGTTTGGATGGGGCTTAGCAGGTACCCAGAGAAAGTGGTATTTTGTTTCAGGGCACTGGGCAGACCAAAACAACAGCTGTGCACTCTAAATACTTAACCTCAGGTGAGTATGCCTGTGACTCAGAGCTTCCTGGCATCTCATTGTGACTACTTTTATATATCCAGTTACATATATGTTTCTGACAAGGTGATTTGGTCATGGTTTCCTTCTTTTCACGTATATGTTGTTTCACAATGGTATCTCTAGTTAACTTCTTGTTATAATTTAAGAATTTGGCTCTGTCCATCTCACATGAATGGCACCAGATCTTGGGGGTACTGGCTTATTCAGAGACTGAGGAAACATGGAGGGGTGGTGTTTTTGCTTTATGATGCTAGGATGAATGTACAGGTCGAGCATAAACCACTAGTTTTGTGTATATTGGCTTGTTAATGAGGCTCTTTAATTAGCTAGAGGGCCTCCCACTTGCCAGCTGTTACTGGTGTTGCATTTGCATTGAAACAGACAAAAAACCAGAACTTTTAGGGGTCTCTATTTCTGCCCTGGCAAAGGAAAGGAATCCATTCATACATTCAGCAACATTGAACATTTTATGCAAGCCCTATACTAGGCATGGGGACAATTCCATAACAGATAAATGAACAAACTACTGTGGGAACACAGAGAAAGGAAGTGGCTTGCAGGACCGAGAAGGCCCCTGGGCAAAGTAACTTTTGTATTGGTTCTGAAGTTTGAGTTAAAGGTTAATAGATAGGCAAGAGGGAGGAGGGTTTTGTACAGAAGACAAAGGTTCAAAGGTGGGAGAGAGTATGGTGTTTTAGGGAAAGAAGAGTTTGGGGCTGTAGTGAAGGGTGTTGCCTCTAGAGACATGTCAGGATATTAACCTGGAGAGAAGTTGGCTTTGTGGAGAGCCTTGGATGCAGAGTTTGGGATCTTGGATGCAGAGTTTGGGACCTATAGGCAGTAGGGCCCCTTAAGCAGAGAATTGACAGGGTCAGATTTGTAGTTTAGAAATACTAGTCTGATGGATGTCTGGAGGATGGATTGGTGAGGGAAAGCCAGGAGACAAGATGAGAAAAGGCCTTTCCTTGACACACAAGTCTAGCTCTGGAGGGTGGAGAGGAGGGGAGGAAGATAAGGAACCTGTTCATCTGTAACACGGATGCTCAGGTATGGCTTCTAGGGCTTGCTTCGGTGCATGTTCAAAGTTTCACCCTTGAGGACTGTTGTATATTCAGTTTGGGGTCTCTCT